GGCGACGACGAGCCCGTTGTCGGTTGCCGCCGCCGCCGCCGCACGAACCGAGATCACTGCCCGGCTCGATATCCGAGTATCATCGAGCACATCGAATCTTCTCGAGGACGTCGACGGTCCGTCGATGGCGATGACCGCTCTCTCCACGACCAGTCCCGAGATCGGCGAGATCAGGTTGCCGGTTTCGGGAAGAACTCCGCCCCTGCCCGACCTTCGAGCGACCGACTTTTTCAGGTTTGTGTACCGAGAACACGTGTGCGTTGTTCGACGCGTCTCTTCTACTGGTTGTCTTTCTAGCACTCCCGTGAGAGGTTCGATGGACGCGGGCCAACCCGATTCCGACAACCGAAATTCGGTGTTGACGCTGATAGTGAGCAAAGCTCGCGAAGACGTCGGCCCATCGGAACGCTCCTGCCCTCGGCGCAACAACGGGTTGTTCGCCGAGAGTAAACACGGCCAAAGGAAACCGAGCGTGAACGTGACGACCAATCCGCTGGACATCTCGCTGGTCGGAGCTTGCACGAGCAACAACGATCGACAACCGGCAGCCGACGGATCGGTGGGTAGGACCGGAAGTAGCAAGATTCGAGGAAGACCCGCCGGTGAGTGGTCTCGATCGAGCTTCACGGTTCTATCGTATCGGTGCTTTAGCGAGGACGCGTTCTAGTTGTGTCTCTCTGTAGGACCGATTTATTCGCGAGGTAGATAAGAAAGAGCCGGGAGGCGATTTACCGGATCGCGTAGAGAACAACTCGAAAGTTCGTGAACCAACTTCTCCCTAAGAAAATCAATTGTTGTTGTTTTCTTTCAGAATCTCATCCCCTCGTTTCGACCATTCATTCATGGGTCAGGCTCTTTTTCCCGTTTTGCGCAATAGGTATACTATTGGTTGTGCTCGAGTTGTGCTTCGAGGTCTCTAACGAAATCGAGAGATCACCGAGCGCCGCGCGACTAAGACCGTTTCAATCGCGCAGATATCCATTCTATCCGAACACGATTGGGTGCCACCGGTTTCCCAGCAGCTCGGCGATCTCTCGCATCGCAGTGATCTTGTGTGTAGAGAAAACTCGCGGGCGAAACACACTTGAAGACTAAATTCGTTTTCGCTCCACGGCTTACGCCCTTACGCATTCATTCGAATACTCGCGTATCGCATCGTATCGCATTGCATTGCATCGCATTGCATCCCTTCGCCACGTATCGTATCGTATAT